TATGTACATATGTATATATATATACCAGTAGGTTCGTCCGCATACTTTTTTCTAGTCCGCCGATTTGGCTTAGAATTTTCTTGCGTCGCAAAAAAAGTATACCGCGGAACACCCTTCAAGAAACCCCGGCGCCGGGAAAAGTATGCCGGGACAATCCCTTGGAGAACCCCACTTAAGATTGTAAAGCAATACGTATGCCGGGACAATCCCTTGGACAACCCCACTTAAGATTGAGTGGTCACTTAAGGTCTGGGGAAAGGCTGCATAGCCGTGGCTTAGAGGTGTGACAATTAAGAGGCTATTGAGTCGTTGTTTAAAGGTCTTGGAAACGGCTATTGAGTGTCATACATTTGTGTGCAGGTCCGGGAACCAGCTATTGAATCATGGTTTAAAGGCCTGGGAAGAATCTGTTGCGTCCTTTCCTATATAACGTCTACATTGCTAGGAAAGGCTATTGAGTCGGTCATCAAGGTCTGGGAAAGGATGGTTGAGCCCTGAGCAATTCAAACGACATGTTCGTCATAGACCTGTAGGCAATCTCATTTTCATGCACATGCAGACTCCACCAGACTTCAAGAGGCCGCTTAGCGACGAAATTCAGGCGTGATCCGTTCTCCTGCGTAGAGCAAGTAACGCTGCAAACATCGCAGCGACACATACTGGGCTCCTGCACGTCGAGAAGCTCTTGCATGTACTCCCACGAAATCCTCGTCCATTTGTACCGTGAAAGCGATGCAGTTGAGCGTCCAGGCCGAAGCCCGAGCCTGGGACTTCAAGTCGTGGAATATGTGATGCATGTAATGTATTTTTGGGGTGAGTGGAAAGCGATCGCGGTTCAACCCCATTGTAAGATGCACCAAATGACCATAGCTTTTGAGAAAATTCATCCCAGTAGCGGAAGCATCCAGGGCCTGGCGCTGCGTCATCCACAGTCCACTCCTGTATAGCAATCGGACACAGGCATTCAGGTTGACCACTCCAGTGTACGTCCAACCCAAAATGGCATTCTCGGAGGCCATTGAAGCATGTACATCACAGAAGTCTTCGAAAATCTCGAGAAGCAGCGTTGTATCGCTTGCCTTTTGCCAAGCTCCTTGAGGGCATTTCTGATACGAGTCGAAGCCAACGGTCAGCTCATTGATATACCGACAGTACAGTTTCTTGTTTTGTCGCTGCAGGTAGGCCTGCGCATGCCCATCCAGATAGGCGAACCTCTCTGGAACGTTGTTTCCTGCTTGTAGATTGATATACCCTATCGCACCCAAGCGATAAAACTCTTCAGGGTCTTAAGGAACAAAGAAACAACCCGACCTATTGGTATATATATTGGTAACCAATGGAAAACTCTGATAAACACAAAGAGAAACCCTAAACATAGGCTTATTACCCAAAACAATATAAACTTAATGGGCTTGAAGGCACGAAGCCTGGAAGAAAAGGTAGCCATTCTACAAAAGCCGAAGCGAGAAACGTCTTTCCACAGCCCAAGTGAAGGCAGTGCCACATATCTGGCTTGAGGAATCCCCCAGCGTTTCCAGGGTCATGGAATAAATGCGTGACTATATCCGGGGGGCTCTCCCAGGGGGGCTCGGCCCCAACAGACTGCAGCCAATGAGGATCATCAGTGAAGCTTTCAAACGACCACCCAGGTAAGCCTGCAAGGCATAGATGACAAATTCCAGATTTTGTCTGCTGTCCACTGCGCTTGCTGACATGATTATAAGATCTAGAAAGTCCTGCCACCTTCGTGAAGAATTGAAGGTCCCCCACGGCTCCAACCACGGCACAGCGCCACGTCTCGTCGCCAGACTTAGACTTAACCTTGATGCCGATTGTTGAAAGCTCACATAGATCAGCGACCAATGCATCGAACATTTGCTGCAAATATCTGGAATCGGTTCCATATGCTTTCTTGGACAAAACGAAGGCCAGAAATCGTGTATCCACTGAGTGGCCCTTAATATTGACAGGCATAGCCTGTTGATGCATTCTGGGTGCATCCTTGTGAAACTCCTCGAAGGCCCGGCATCCAGCACCGATCAGCCCGTGAGTGTTGACCACCATAACTGGCAATCGTTTCCTTCCCCGCCCTTCGTCGCCATGAACGACCAATGGTATCGTTCTTTCGGGGTGCATGCTACCAGCCGCGAAGGCAGCATGAACAGTGTTGTTTGGCTCCACCACCTTAAAACGACTCCAGAATTCAAGCAAAAGACTCGGTGGCTGTTGGCCGTAGAGGAGGTTCAACTTGCCAATGTCCGCAAGGTGCTGATACAAACAACTGGGTTTAATTATGGGCAGGTCCCAGCTCTCGTCTCCAACATTGACATAGGATATCGGAACATCCAACGCCAGGCCAAACTCTTTAAACCTGAGTTTCCAGAAAGCCTATATTATTACAAGGGCAGGAAGAGGCTTCACCTCACACAGTTCATGATGTCCATGGGTCCATAGAAGCTTATTTTTGCTGGCATTATTGGGGACTGTTGTTTGTGCACAGCTGAGAAAAGGTCGTGGTATAGAGTTTGGGTGAAATCCCGATGCTGCTTGTATTTTCGCACATTCCAAATGTGTCTTTACAACATGTATACACTAATGCACACCTTCTACACACAGGTATACATGCACACCTTACATAAACCCAGTCTCAACTGTAGTAACTCAACCCCATAAAAAACAAGAAGCTCGAATCCACACACCCTAGAAGAGCACCGTATCCCTTAACTTCCCTCGGCAGCAGGAAAAGCCGGTAACCTTGGGATGAGCCTACTTGCGACTTCTAGCTTGTACACGTATATATCCACTTATATATATATATATATACATACATACATACATAAATAATATATAGATCGAGTCTATATACTGGGCTTGGGTTTGTATAGTTCTTATAGGGTGCTTCGCAATTGGAAGTAGTATGCTGGCAGGGATACAAGGCTTGGGTCTTTAGGTTTTTATAGGGTGCTTGGAGTAGTATGTGTGTGGGGTTAGAAGGTTTTGTGGGATTCTCGGGGTTCCGGTGCGGGGGCTGGGTCTTCATCAACAGCGAGCTCCAGCTGACGATCTGATGATGCGAATGCAGCTTAGTTGCAGCTCATGCCCCTTGTCTTCTAGCCGGTTTTCTGAAGCTTTGGCTAGCTCATCAAGAAGGGAGTCACCGGAGCGGCGGGGATCATCAGCTGCAGCTCGTACGAAGCCAGAGATAGTAGTCCCAGCGGCCTTGGCAGCAGATGCGAGATTACATTTGTTTTAGCAAATCTCATCGATGCTTGTGCTGTAGCAGCTGACATCAAGGAGTCTGCAGTCGAGACTTTTCGCACCTGGAGACTTAGAGCACGTGTTTGATTGCAATGTACACGAAGTAGGCTGAAGGAAAGTGGTCAGGCCCCTCTCCACCGGGGTTTTCATTATGGCAACCTGGTCGCCTTCTGTACAACCGAATTAAATGAGCCTCAAGGCACTTACACATCGTGCTGTCTGCTGACATGTACAACAGATGCATCCGATGATACCCCTCGTCGCAGTAGCCTTCCATCCGCCGAACAGGATCATGAGTGAAGCCGACTTTGAAAACCACGGAACCAGCAGACTGCAGAACCTCAACAGATCAAATCCTTTTCGGCACAAAAAGCACAGGAGCAGCATTAGCATGACTGCCGAAAGCCAAGGCACTATCTGGACCATCGCTTCAGCGTGGGCAAAGATCTTGCCAGGTGTCTTGCCGACAGATTTAAGTTCAGGCAAAGTAATCTTCAGCAGATCTCGCTTGCTCAAGATTCCATCCCAAGTCTCGGCCATATCTGGTAGGCTGAGAAGCTCCGCAGACATGTACTTGTGATATCTCCAATGAACTGAAGATTTGGCATCACAGGTGCCTTATGTTGAGCGACCCAGAAGCTTGTGGGGTGATCAAGGTGCCCCTCAAACCTGGATATAATTGAGTCCAGTTGCTAAGCACAGTCTTGATCCCAGGCTCGGATGCTGTCTTCCTGGAGGCAGGGCCGCGCGTGCACCGGAGTGGGTATGATATGAGGGTGGCTTAATAACATAGTCGAAGCCAAGTGTCTGTCGTTTTGAAAACACTAGGAGCTCATCGAACCACTCATCCATGGCCGCGGCTGTGACATTTACCGAATCAATCTAGTGCTGCTACAAACTCCTAATTAGGGCGACAATAACCATATATAAGTAAGTAAATAAATGAATAAATAAATAAATAAATATATATATATATATATATACGTAGATTTTCAGGTCGACTGCCTAGGACTTCAGGGTTTCTAGGGCTTCGGGGTTTCTATACAAATATGTCCTAGGTCTGCTGTTCCATAAATGGGATACCTCGTTGGGTCCATGGCCCATGGTTGTACGGTTTTGGAAGGTTCAGGGATTGTGGCCGTTGCTGGTGGCGGCCTTCGATTGGGATGCTTGTCTCACTAAACAATTGCATGATCCTCAGAGACACAAACTGTTAAGACCAACATGAGCTCACAACTCAAGCATCACAGAGCACCATGGCTCCAAGGCAAGGGCCCCTCGAACCAACTGCTTGGCAGCCTCTTTGCCGAGTCTGCCAGCTTGACCTGGCATGAACACATCAGCGAAAGCACTACACACATATGTTGTGAGGTTTCTGAACACTCAAACACAGCTGGTGCGGTGTTTTCCTTTCCCAGTGCACGTGATGTCATCGTCGTCCCAAAATTCTGAGTGTTGTCAGTACAACACTGCATGGGTCACCTAGGCTCCCAAAAGCCGGCTGGGTGCTGCAGTGCAAAAGATGCAAGCACCAGCCATGTAGCAGCAGACCAGTGCAGCAACACATTGTAATTGTATACAGTTTTGAAGAATGAAACATCGGTATTGTGTTACGACTGTGAAGTATGATTGTGTCAAACTGCAGATAATGCTTCGACCTGGCCGGCCAAGAGCCATGCGTACATTTCTAAACTACTTGGCTGCTTTCGCCTTCGCCTTTCCTTTGGCCTTAGCTTTGGGTTTACCAGGAGCCCCTGGCGGGGCTGCCGACGGACGTTGCACTGAATCCTTCAGCTCCCTCTGCAGCTCTGCCAGGACTGGCGTGACCTTGTTCTCCATGGAGACCGCCTGGACGGCCCTGGGAATGAGGTGGGTTGGCCATCTGGACTAGAGGGGTTTTTAGGGATAAACTGTATATGAGCTTTATGTACATATAGGGTTCTAGGGTAGGGAATCGACCCGGCTTGGGGTTTTGGGTTTTGAAACACTCAACATGGAGGCTGGCTAGTTTAAGAAAGTTGTTGTTTCGGCGGTGTATAGAGCTGAATTTAACACCTCAAACATTAGGTTGCAGGGTCCCACAAAGAACTCCAGGCTTCACTCAAGGATTGCGGAATCTCTACTCTCGGGTAATTCAGATCGATCGAGTAATTACATAGAATCCAACCGTCATCATCCCCCATTACCTAAACCGCTGGAAGACACTTTAATTTTAATTGATGTAAGTCTACACAAGCCCTATATAGTCCCCCTGGACACCCAACCTACACCAACAAACAAACCCAAACTAAGGCCCTAAGCCCCTATCTAGCTCATCCTCAACCCTGACACACCTCCAACCCTACAAACCTTAGAGCCCACGTCCTTTAATCCTCACAAAAGCCTGGTCGGAATTACAGGCTATGTGTCTTGTTTCAATATTACGACTATAGTGATCGAAGTGTCATAAGTTTTAATATTTTGTAACCCAGTCGCAGGACCGAAGCTGTCTCGATAGACATGTCAATCTCGCTCTTGAGCCTCAGTTCAAAAGGCTAGGTTATTGGATGCAGAAAACATATAGAGTGTTCATATTGTGATACCAGGAAGCTTGGGGGTCATGCGTAGGGAAGCAGTTGCTTTGATCATACTCATGTTGTCATAGTGGCGCTCCATCGCCGTGGCATGAGATTGCAGCTCAGCGGCCTGCCTCAGGGTGGGGCCAGCAATTTCTATGACTATGAGCCTGAGCCCGAGAGATTAAATAATTGTATAGTGTTAAGTAGCTTACAAACCCTGATCCCACCAATAACCTGCATACATATATATATATATATACACCGGATATATATATATATATATATATATATATATGTATGTATATGTAAATATTCATATATTTATAACCCCATCGAAACCATACACACCCTAAATAGCCTCTCATGGATCTCGTTCGGAGCGGGGTTCTTGGGCTTCAGCAGCTGGTCGGCTAGGTCACGTAGTCGCAACACTTTCGCCAAAACTTCAGCCAAGCCCCGATCCAGCAGCGTACGGGGGTCCTCGGCTTTCGGAGAATGTGGCTTGCAGGGTTTTTTTTTGGGGGGGGATAGTTGGCACAGATTCAGTTGATTATCTCCATCAGACCCTATACAGCTAAGCAACTTCTTCTTGAGCCATCGCAGCTTCCTCGTGTGCCCCAGGGAGCTGATCATCGAACTGCGTCTCCACTTGTGGGTTTTCACCAGTCCCCTGCAGGATCGCCAAATTTGTGGGTCGCAGGGCTTTAAGAGGAAACTAGAGTGGGTTTTGGGACTTGTTTGGGGCTGATGTAAGCAGTGCATGCTGATAAGGATTGCAGGCTCAAGGGTTGTAACCAAGGGTTTCTAGGAAAAGGTTTTTCAGGGTGCAATCAAGTTTGATATGACTTAAAAATTTTGTACTGGAGCACCTCCTCCCTGATCTCATTCTCGGTGCGGTCGGTATTTTTCTGCGTGACCGCGCCAGCCCAAGAGGTCTCAACCCAATACTGGAGGATACTTTTATCATACTTCCATGGCCTCAGAACGAAAACTGTTCTCAAAGTGTTCTCTATGATTGTAAACATCATTGCAAGGCAGGTGTAGGGCACAGAAACAGTGGCTGCCAAGGGTCCTTGTCAGCTTCTTTGGGTTGAGCATGCAGTAATCCACGATCTTCTTGATCATCTTCCTGAGTTCGCATGGCTATCAAGTGGAAGGGTGCATAGGGTTTAGGGTTTAGGGTTTAGGGGTTTAGGGTTTAGGGTTTATAGGGTTTATCTAGGAATTGCAGTGTCTATCATGGGATTACTCACACCATCAAGTTTCGCATCATAGTTCAGGTCATCCCTCATGGCTGCCTGGGTATACCACCCAGCTTGGATCGTGAGGCTCTTCTCCTTCTCGACGATGACGATCCGCGTGGCGACAGAGGCGAACACTTTCTGTTCGGGTCGGAAGCAGACATGAAGTAATGATACGTAATGCACGCGAGTATTGCAAGACACTTCCGAAACAGTCCTGGTTGAAGCGAGCATCCACAAGGGCTTTTGCCAACTTCTTGCGATTGTTCACGTCTTGGTAGGCCTTGCAAGCATCTTCTCCCCCTGGCACTTTGCCAGATTTGCGGCGTTTGCACATGCGTCGAAGCCGTTGAAGAACAGCCGCCTCTGACAACACCTCAATTAATTGCAAAAGCAACGAGAACCTCGCACCACACAGTGCAAGCAAAACGACTTGCACCTGCACACACAGATCTGGATCCATCTAGGGCCGCTAGAGAGCCTTTCCAGTCTTTGGGCAAGTAACCACCCCAAGGCCAAGACCTTCCCCCTCTTCCCCTTCCCCATCCTCACTCCTAGACTCCGACCCACTTTCCTGGTCCGTTCCCTGGTGGCTGCTGTGGACCGATGGCGGGGCGGCGGGGTGGCCTGTGTTTTCCCTCCGACTGCTTCCTGCACCCGATCGGGAACGTGGCCCCTCGGACTGGCTTCGGGCTGAGCTCGGGGTTGCTGGTGCCTTTAACTGCTGCAGCTTCTTGTGAATCTCAGCCTGCTTGGCTGCCAGAAGTTGTGCTTCTTGCTGAAGCAGCACTGCTTCGTCATCTGCCTGAGTTGGTTTAAACCGATCATGCAGCCAGAGTCAAAATACATTATAAATCTGCTGTGTAGCGCTATATATCATAAACTTATGCAACCTGGTTGCAGGCTCTGAGCTCGGAGGCCCGCTGCGATCTCGGAGCTTCAGCTCCTTTTTCAGCTTTGAGGGCACCAGGGCTTCTGTAGGGGTCCGGGGAGGCGGCTGGGTTGCTGGGATTGTAGCAGGAGTTGGAGGCAGACTTGTAGAACGTTCAGAAGCGCTGGGTGTCGAAGGCACCGGGGATGCCAAAACCAGGGTAGGCTGCACTTGGCTTTCAAATACATCAGCCAGATTCTTGGCCACACCATTGATTCCAGGCTCCTTAGAGTTATCTAGCTTTTTATATTTAAATTCAGGTCAAATAGTTCCTTGTAGGTAATTCAGCAAACCATGCAAGTCTTCACAGGGCTCACAACTTTGACTCTTTGAGCAGGAGGCCAGTTCACCCTTCACCCTCTTCGTAGGTGGAGAGACACCCGGAGATGCATTCATCTGGGCATCGGCGTTCGCGATTTTAGCCTTCAGCTCCTGCAAGCACGTGTTGTTTAGCTGCATTTTAAGTCTGTGGAAACATTGATCGACACATAAGTGAATCCCCTCCCACCTGAACACGTTTTCGCATCATCACCTCCGTTCCTGCATCTTCCTGCATGAGTCCTTCGTACCCCTGCTGCAGGTCAGAGCACGACCAGAGTTTGGAGCCCAACATCTTGCTCTGGATAGACTTAAGGATCGAGCTACTACACAGGCTAATTAAGATTTATAGGGTTTGGTAAATGTGGGTCGAGGAGGATGAAGCTACCACTGGCTAAGGGTTTCACTGCTTAGGTTTTTGAGCTCTTACTGATTTAGGTGATCCGGGTCGAGAGCGATGAAATTAAGTAGCAGTTCAGGTTTTGGGCTTTATGGGATCTGGGCGAAGAATGAAGAGGCCACAAAAGGTTACAGTTCCCTATAATTTACACCCTGTATAAACCCTCTCTCTCTCATCTATATATATATATATATATCTCTCACCCTAATGTAAAAACCCCATAAAGCCTATATAACCCTAAAAATTCTAGATACCCTAAACCCTATAGGGTTTAGGGGTTTAGGGGGAAGAACTCCTGCCCTAAACCCTAACTCAAAAGCCTAAACCCTAAAGCCCAAACCCTAACCCAAAACCCTAAACCCTAAACCCTAACCCTTAAAACCCTAAACCCTAAACCCCAAAACCCTAAACCCTAAACCACAAACCCCTAAACCCCCAACCCACTAAACCCAAAACCCCAAACCCTAAACCCAAAACCCCAAACCCTAAACCCTAAACCCCAAACCCTAAACCCAAAACCCCCAAACCCTAAACCCCCAACCCCCGGTATGACGGCAATCCGAGCCCGGAGCTTTCACCGTCCTTTCGTTGAACCCTGGGCTCTCCAAGCACAAGCTGGGCCAAATCCAGCCATTTCAAGAGCGATGGTTTAGGGTTTAGGGTTTAGGGTTTAGGGTTTATATATATATATATATATAATTAAACCCTTATAGACCCTAAATCCTAAACCCTGATAAGCCCTAAACCGGAAACCCTTAAACCCAATTAATTCACAAAGTATATATGGGTAGTTGTCAAAATTAGGGTCCCTTTTGGGGGTACCCTAATTATGAGGAGCCGTATGATAATAAGGACCCAAAACGGGACCATAATTTTGACAACCACCCATATATATATATATATATAAACCCTATATACACTGTAGAGGCCCTATAAACCCTATAGAGGGATCTATAGAGACTAGAGGTCGCCTGGGATATATGGGTTTATAGGGGATAGTAGAAGGCTGTAGATTTATAAATGGTTCGATAGGGGTGAGGTTCTGGGCTAATCGACTGATGCATTTCTGTAGAGCTGCGTTTGCCATCCAGGCTGAAGTGGCCCTGACAATATTTTGACCACAGCCACCCATCTCAGGCTCCGTTTGCCCAAGCATATATACAGTGCATCGACATCAGATCATCAGTCCTGCCAGAAGACAGCTACAGCAAGTATGGATCGAGGTACACGAGCAACACTTCCCACAATTGTACTTAGCTTGAGTTCAGCTGCCTAGACTCTACAAACACATGTACATGTGTATATATATATATATATACATATGGGATATATATATATATATACATAACTATCTATCTATATATATATATATATAACTATATATATATATATAACTATATTAACTAACTAACTAACTAACTAACTAACTAACTAACCTCATAAACCCATATAGCCCTTGATCTGTCCTGCTCTGAAGGGGATTGATATCAGCACACAGTTCTCTCCTTCGCAGGCTTGGGATGGCTTAGGGGCTCAAAGGCGTTTTCTTGGGTAGGGACCCATGCTTCTGCAATCAGTACTGCATGCCAGTCCTTGTCGTATACATGGAACCATCGAAACATTTCATCATAAAGCCTGATGGGGGACTCGATCTTAAGGCAGCAGGACTCCAAACACCACAAGTATTGCCCAGGCAGCAACCGAGCGGCGAATCCCAGAGTGGCACGCGTCAGGGAGCCAAGACCTGCAGCAGGGTTTTACAAGGTACCAGGGTTCAGAGGGTGGGACAGGTCTGAGACGTTGGCTTCTGGAGTGGGTTGAATCATCTTAGAACCAGCATCTGCTCCTTCTTTGCGCTGAAGATCACTCGTAAAAGTAGAATGAACTAGGCTATCAGGGGCAGAAACTGACCAGCAGAGTCCTCCACGTAGGCCAAAAGCCAGCTCCAAAGCCTCATCCAGACAGCCTGCGGGAAAAGTAAGCCGAGCGGGAAAAGTAAACCAGTACGGGTGTTTACGGGGAGGGTACGGGTAAAAGGTGAAATCTGAGTACGGCTTTTTTTCACCATGATGTTGGCTTTTTACGCTCTGGGTTCGGGTACGGTTTTTGGTACGGTTTTGTTTTCACCATTTTTTTCACCATTACGGGTTCCAGCCAGCCCAAAAAGTAAACCTGGCTGAGCGGAAAAAGTAAACCCAGCCGCAGCCCCGCAAACTCACCAAAAGAAGCCCCTATAGCCTCAAAAGGCCCCGCGCACTACCCAGCCAGCCCAAACACCCACAAAGCCAGCTCAAGAAGAGCCCACCCCCCAAACCACCCCACCCCACCCCAGCCCACGCCACCCGCACCACCGCCCTGATGCTCATGATGCTGGGTTCCCCCTCCCCTCAAACGAGTCCAATGGGGGAGTGCAGCCGTTGGACTCGTGCTGATCCATCAAAATTAATGCCCCGAACGGCTTGGGCGGAGCTGTCTGGAGTGCTTCTGAGTTAATATGTTGGCAACCATCAGTGGGAAGTTTTGCACCAAATCAGCTGTATCTGGAACCCTGTCGCATTACCTAATTTGACAGGGTTGCTCGGTGCTGTCTGGAGTGCTGCTGAGTTGATATTAGCAAGAATCAGTGGCAAACAACCTAGCCGAGCCAAGCCCAGACAGCCAAACAGGCATGACATAGGGATCGGGTTTATGCATTCTAGATGCAGTACACTGGCCTCAGACTCGGGTTCTTATAGAATTCCTTTAAAGGCTGGCGGCTTAGGTTCAGGGTTCTTGTAGGGTTCGTTTATAAGGATTATAAGGGTTTGGGATTTGGAACACGAAGCTCACCGGGGCCTTCAAAACCATCGCAGAATGGCTCCTATGTAGGAATCTAGGTGCACTATGCTATGACTGGGCTATTGTGTATGTCGAGATGAATGAAAAAATAACCATGCGTAGCTATCCTGTCTTGGTATACTCGAGCCATCCAGACGAGATGCGACTGATGCCCAGAGTAATTGCTGTTGCCAGCACAAAGACAATCAGGCTGAGTTGCATGAATATTCGTGCATGCACACCAAACACATCTTTTTGGGCCCACTCCTTCTGGGCTTCTAGCAGCTATTCTAGCACATCCTGTGCACGAGCCCGAGCCTACCTGTGCAAACAAGAAGCATCATCCGTCACACTCCTGGTCGCTACACAAGATCACTCAGGCAAGCATTTTGGTAGGAGTGGTCGCCAACCCTCCGGGATCTTTAAATGCTTGTTGCCCCGCAAGTATCTGATCACATCTGTCATTCGGCTTTCTTCCCACAGGTCCGAGAAGACCATCTGCTGGAACATGGTGGCTATGTCAGGCACCTTCAGGAGTCTATATAGGTTATATGGGTTTAGGGTTTAGGGGTTTATAGGGTTTAGGGTTTATAGGGGTTTAGGGGTTGCACCCTTAATGTAGGAGCACAATAGTTGCATATTTCATGCACTATAAACCTAAAAGCCACAAACCTTCGTAGGTCCCCTATGATACTAAGCTCCACCGGTATTCTTCGAACAAGAGACAACCCTACACCCTTTTACCCTTTACACAGAAAGCCCTGAGCAGTGTTAAGGGTCTCTCAAGGAATTAATTAGATCAGGTTTTCAAGAATTGTGTGCTCTCTAGGGGTTCCAAAACCTGGGGTACACAAACCCAATTTAAAAGTATCTACGAGCCCTGGTAGAAACCTCAATTCGGGTTTGCGAAGCCTCCTGATGCTTGCCTGGACCCTACAAACCCTTTGCCACCTCTATACAAGCCTGGTCTATACATGTACACATATATATATATATAAACTACATAGAACTATCTCTCTCTCTCTATATATACTTGTATATGTCTATACAGTCTAGACATCCTTCAAATTTGATGGCCTTATATAGACCACGCAGATCTTCATATAGATTTTACATATAGTCTCCATTATAGTTCTTTTTTGGTTTAACCAATTAATTCTATATTAAGGGTCCTAAAAAGTAATTAACCCGAAAAGGAACTACACTGGAGACTAATGTATTAATTATTGTAACGTTTTCACTATACAAGGCGCTTCGAACTCAAGGGTTGCTAGGGTTTAATTGTAGACCCATGATCAGGCAGCAGTAGAGATGGTCGCAGCCTGGTAGCGATGTCAAT